CCTCATAAAACTAAAAAGCTTCTGTTCATCAAAAGAAATGGTCTCTAAACTGAAGAGAACACCCACAGAGTGGGAGAAAATATTTGCCAGCTATACATCAGACAAAGGACTGATAACCAGAATATACAGGGAACTTAAAAAACTAAATTCTCCCAAAACTAATGAACCAATAAAGAAATGGGCACGTGAACTAAACAGAACTTTCTCAAAAGAAGAAATTCAAATGGCCAAAAAACACATGAAAAAATGCTCACCATCTCTAGCAATAAAGGAAATGCAAATTAAAACCACACTAAGATTCCACCTCACCCGTTAGAATAGCCATCAATAGCAACACCAACAACAACAGGTGTTGGTGAGGATGCTGGGGAAAAAGGAACCCTCTTACACTGTTGGTGGGAATGTAAACTAGTACAACCACTCTGGAAAAAAATTTGGAGGCTACTTAAAAAGCTAAACATTGATCTACCATTTGATCCAGCAATACCACCCTTGGGGATATACCCAAAAGACTGTGACACAGGTTACTCCAGAGGCACCTGCACACCCATGTTTATTGCGGCACTATTCACAATAGCCAAGTGATGGAAACAGCCAGATGCCCCACTACTGACGAATGGATCAAGAAAATGTGGTATCTATACACAATGGAATTTTATGCAGCCATGAAGAAGAATGAAATGTTATCATTTGCTGGTAAATGGATGGAATTGGAGAACATCATTCTGAGTGAGGTTAGCCTGGCCCAAAAGACCAAAAATCATATGTTCTCTCTCACATGCGGACATTAGATCAAGGGCAAACACAACAAGGGGATTGGACTTTGATCACAAGGTGAGCACACAAGGGAGATATGAGGATAGGTAAGACACCTAAAAAATTAGCTAGCATTTGTTGCCCTCAATGCAGAGGAACTAAAGCAGATACCTTAAAAGCAACTGAGGCCAATAGGAGAAGGGGACCAAGAACTAGAGAAAAGGTTAGATCAAGAAGAATTAAACTAGAAGGTAACACACATGCACAGGAAATCAGTGTGAGTCAACTCCCTGTATAGCTATCCTTATCTCAACCAGCAAAAACCCTTGTTCCTTCCTATTATTGCTTATACTCTCTCTACAACAAAACTAGAGATAAGGGCAAAATAGTTTCTGCTGGGTTTCAAGGGGGTGGGGGGGAGAGGAAGAGGGTGGAGTGGGTGGGATGGAGGGGGTGGGGGCAGGGGGCAGAAATGACCCAAGCATTGTATGCACATATGAATAATTAAAAAAAAAAGTCTTTAGGGATTGAGAGATGTGACATTCTTTGTGTAATTTGGCAATCCAGTGTGCAGTGCAACACCATAAATATACCAATGGAATCAAATGGAATTCTAGTGAGTGCCAAGTGTCTTCCTGTATACAAAGGGCACAAGTTGGGTATGAGAAGATAGGTTAGTCATTTTAAAGGACATTAAATTGTTGTGACTAGTCAGCATTTTCCCATTGCATGTTTCCATACACAGAAAATATTTCAATAGCATGGGAAACAGGGGGCTCCTTGGGAGGCTGAGCTGTCTGGGTCTCTAGATGCTTGAGATCCTTATTCCAACAGCTGGGGATCTACATTTGTGCTATGATGGGAAATGTTGGAACCAAGAATAAGGCAACTCTGTGATTTCCAAGTTTCTTTGTATCTCAAGGTGTTCTTGTCTCCAAGACCCATTGCTTTAGTTAACCTGGTGTATTTCTTCCTAGCAAGACCCTAGGCAGCAGTCTTGCTGTACCCCCTTCCATCAACCCAGTACCCAAACCCAGAAAAACAAAGACAAAGGTGGCCTTTTTCCATGTTATTTATTCACAGCCAACTAGCTACAAGAGGGAGGAAAAATATTAACAGGAACTTTTCGGGAAGCCATATGGGCATGGGTGGGATTTAGACAGAAAATAATTTTTATAAATGGTTAAATGGAAGGTTTACAAATATCCATTTAAAAAATAGTATTCTATAAGGGTAACAGAGGAAGGTAAAAATCATCATGAATAAAATAAATGAGCTATTTCTGATAATTGTATTCCCCAAAACCAAAGTCTCAAAAACTGGTTTTCATTTTAAATTGTCATGATTTGCAGATACTTATGTGATATGCAGATTGCCAACACAGAAAGAGAAAAACTAGTGCTGAGTAACAGATTACTACAATGCAGAAAATCGAGCACATGAAAATAGCTGTCATCTGCTAGGAAAAATAGATTGTGCTGATGTTAATATCAAAATTAAAGACATCCAAATAAATTATGCCAAAACATTGTAACTGTTCATCTTAAGATCGTAAGATCTTATTGCTCCTACACATAACTAAAATCTAAGGAAATTCTAGGATAGCTGGAAGCAATAATACAGCTTGGGGTAAATGTAAAAGGCTTCCATCAAGGTTCAAAAGCAAAATAACACTTTGTTATTTTTCTTTTAGGCTTGACATCTTTAATGGTAGAACAAGATAATTCAACATAACCTGGAAAATACTGATGAAGGACAATGCTCCAAGCCCAACCAAATGATTTGTTGGAAGTAATTAAAAGAAGGATGTGAGAAAAGCAGCAGCTCAAATGAAGTAAAAATTAAAAACAATTAAGTTTGTATATATACTTTTTTCCCTCAGAGAGTCCTCCAGGAAGCACATGAGATTAGAAACTGTCTAGGCATTCTGGGTACTTAGTAGGTCTCTGTTCTGTTGTCCTAAAATGAACCCCCATCTGTTTAGTTAATACCAGAACCCACCTAGTGTCCAGGAGGTGAACTGCAGGGGGAAGTTGCAATGATGATTTCTTTAAATTAATGTATATTTGTTGTACAAAATGAGTTTCATTATGAAATTTTCACACATGTTGAAATGAGGCTTTTATTACCACCTTGGGTGCAGGGAAAGACCAGCCTGAGAGTGCTCTGGTGCCCGAGGAGGAACAGATCTCCTCCCCTGCTGCCCTAGAGATGCCCATTCCTCAATGGGTTTCCTGCACTTCTGGGGGAGTCAATTATGGCGACAGAACATCTGGAGTGTAGAGTGGTTGCCGACACAAAGTCCCATTTCCAAGACTATGTGGGGATATATGTGAGACAGGATAATTGGGAATAAAATCAGGGTTAAAACAGGCATCTCGAATGGTGCAGTGACTGGCATAATTTATTTGAGAGATTCAGAATCCAGAAAATTAAATTCCACCTCAATTCTTTCCCAACAATTCCATCTATCTGTTTTCTTCATCTTAAAATTATAAAATTCCTAGATATATAAAATTAGTGAAAAGATGCTTTTGGGAGAAAGGATGGAGAAGGAAAAAGAAACTATCTCCCCCACACCAAGTAGTTTTAAGATATGAATATCAGGATGTATCACCAAGTTGTTTAAATTTCAAAAAAGCCCTTTATAAAGATGCGAGTACTGACTAGATTTTAAAATTTGCATATAGTTCTGTACCATACATTTTCCATTCCCAACCTGAATTCAAATAAGATGACTACAGAGGTGACATTTGGTCCAGATGTCCTTCTCATGCCAAAATAAAGCATGAAATCAGCAATAACAGCACTGGGACAATTACAAACTTTCCAAATGCTGCATGGCAAAGATATATTCATCGAGGCTGTACATTTTGTTTTGTTTTTCTCTTTTGAGCCAGACTCTGGAGCAGGCCTAGTTCACAGCCCACATTACTAAAATTCTGCAGTTGTCCTCACATTGTAAAAACCAGATTTGTTTTTCCCGAGTACCTTTAAATCTACAGCTTGTTTCCTCATGTCTGTGAGCAGAATTTGTATAAATGCTTGAAAAGAAAAAGAACAAAGTACTTTCCAAAGAATTGGATTGTGTCAGTCAACTGCTTAGAAGTGGAATTGATATTCACATTGTATTCATTTTGACATCTCTATAATGTGGCATGAATGAATTCAATATTTAGTGAGTTCTTTTAAAATGCCACTCCAAAAGGCTCCCGATCCCCTTTAAAGAACTGTCCATTTGGAAAATGCAATGCTGTTCAATTGGTTATTGGGTGTGAAAAATTTTTAAAAATTATGCATCTTTTCCCTGTTATTTATTTTACCCTTCATTCGTAACATTCCATATGCTCTGAAACTATTTAAACATTTAAAAACGATTTTGGAGAAATCTCTTCACCACATTACTAGCCTGGATAGAATTGTTACGGACATTCAAGTCAAAGGCTTATCAATCAGGCTTTGGTTTTTTAATGTAATCTGGGCAGAAGTTAGAATTGCTCTGGTAACACAATTCAACTACTGCACAAATATTATATTATTGTTATGTTGAAATAATACACTTACAAGAACAATATTTCCCCTTTCAGTTGTTATAATCTATCGTTTGATACTGCTACAGAACTCACCGAGTGATGTAAGTAAGAAGAAAGTACAGGAAAGGGGTAAGACAGTTTTCTCAGAAGACAACACAATAGAACATCACCTCTCTACACTGGTCTATAAGGCAGATGGTAAAACGTTTTTATACAAGATCTAAAATATGGTGCTTATTCAGAGGTAGAAAATACCAAAACAGTAGTTAAGAAAAACATGTTGAGTTATTTGAAACAATCAGTTAACTCTGCTTAACTTTTAAAAGTCAAACTACTATGTGGAATGTAGTGTACGTTTTATACTAAACTGGGACATTCTAGACACAACAGAGATGCGGCCAACAGGCGGGGTTATAAAGCTACCAGGAAGTAATTTCTTAACTTGCCAAGGATTGGCTGTCCTACTTCCTCTGCAGGACACCACTAGGACACTGAATTAATGGGGACTTCTCTAATTAATGTGCTTTCTCTGAGTGAGAGTGTACAATTTTGCATGTAGGGCAGTAGAAATATAAGAAGGGACAAACTCAAAAGCTTTCCCTTCATGGAGGTGCCCCTTAACCACTGAAATGAAAATGAAAGTATCCTTTGGACTCCAGCACCAGCAGAATTGTTCTATATGAGCAATTCAAGAGCTGTCTGAGACAAAAAGATATCTCAGCTACCACATTAAACTTGGGTAGCTTACACATCGGTGAGTAACCCTGGGAGTTCTTACTTAACGCACCTGGGAGAGGTTGATTTTTTTTTTCCTCCAACATAATTTTGTAAGGCATAAATGTAATCTGAATCTTTCCTAACCTTTGGAAAATTAGTGTTAAAGCTTCTTTTTGAATCCACACATTAACATTCAATCTTTCATTTTTATTAAATAGTTCATATATAAAAAGAAATGCCAAGGTGTTCTACATTCATATAAGCAGCCATGATAACATTCGGAACTGTAAAGAGACCTACTGAAGAAACGCTGCACTTAAATACTTACAAAGCTAAGCTAAGCACAGTATCATCCCAGAGGCCGCCTTTAAATACGCGGGCACAGGTTGTGCTGCTTCCAGAAGCACATGCGGGGAGTACACTAATGCATCTTTCTTCTTCTTTGCTTTTTTTCACCACAAAACAGGATGGTCCAATTTGGAAAAGCCCAGATCTTTCCTAAGTTCCAAATAGGTGCCATTGCTCACCCAAGAGTCATCACTGGATTTCCTGTGAAAGATGAAAAGATTTCTTGCAAGCTCTTGAAAATATTGTCATATTCTCTCTCTGTCTCTCTCTCTCTCCTTTCTTTCCTTTTCCCACCATCATTCTCGGACACCTTCAACATCCCTGATAGTCCAGTATTGGAACGGTGAGAAAACTGGAAGTTTGAGAACCATTTTGTTACTTCTGACATTAACTTCTCAACCCTGGAGGCTGTGATGGGGGGTGTTTTTGAGGGAAGGACAAGTAAGATTGAGAGTTTTTTGAATCTAAAACATGGTTGGGAGGATAATCACCACCTTGGGAATGACCATGTAAAAGTTACACATCGAGCCAGGCACTGGTGGCTCATGCCTATAATCCTCCCCACTCAGGAGGCACAGTTCAGGAGGATCACAGTTCACAGCCAGCCCAAGTAAATAGCTCATGAGACCCTATCTCAAAAAGACCCAACACAAAAAATGGGTTGATGGAGTGGCTCAAGTGATAGAATGTCTATTTAGCAAGTTTGAGGCCCTGAATTCGAACTCAAGTACCACAAAAAAGTTACACATTGACCAGGCTGTTGATAGGAAGTGGTAAGCTAACATTACATCAAAATAAAACAAAAAAGAAACTGGACATCATAGCAGTTTACTATTGCTAGAATAGACAGTATGCTACATAAATCAAAATTCTAAAGGCACAAAAGAATATATAGCTAAAAGTTTGCTTCTGGTCCTATGCCCAGCCACCCGACTCCTCTTCTGGAGGCAGAGATGTTACCAGGTTCATTCTTTAGAGAAATTCCATGCAGGTATGAGTGTGCCTGTGTGTGCCTGCACACACACTCCATCTTCTCTCACTTTCACATAGTGGTAGTGAGTATTTGGCTTAACAATATAAATTGACAATAATTTCTCATTAGCACAATAAGCAAGGATCAGCAAACTATAGTCCAAGGACAAAATCCAGCCTTCAAGCACACATGTGACACATATGTCTTTTCTGTGGTGCTGGTGATCAAACCCAGGGCCTCATGCATACTAGGGTGAGCATTCTACCACTGAGCCACATCTCAGTCCAGCATATCTTTGAAATATACTGTTTTACTGGAACACAGCCATGCCCGTTTCTTTAAATATCATCTAGGGTTGCTTTTAAGTTGAGCAGCTGGGTTGAGTAATTGCTACTGAGGCCTTATGGCCTGCAATGCAGCAGTATTTACCACTTGGTCTTTAAAAGAAAGTTTAGTGACTCCACCAATAGGGAATTCCTTGTCTTCTAAACATTTCAAAATGGTTAGACCACAATTTACTTAAGAGGTACCCTATCCTGATGGGCAGTCAGGTTGTTTTCAACTCGATTATAAACACAGCATGTAATTTTATGTGTGAAAGTAGTTACATTAAAAATTCCTATAATTAGCATTGTGAGTCAGAGAATATGTGTATTTCTAATTTTCACTGACATTGCCATATGTTTTAGGAACAAAAGTAAGAGTGACTGTTTTTCTGTATTCTTGGGAACATAGATTTTTATTACACTTGTTTGCCTGTTCCAATGAAGGGATATGTTTAAAATGAGTCAGTCTGTGCATCAGTTCATGACAGAACAAAGAGGCCCAATTTGACTTGGATTATAGTTTCTACTAGGAATTTCCAGTGATGTTTTCATTATTCCTCAATAAATGCTGACAGTAACACCAAGTCCCCACAGCCTTTCCCAAAGCTCTTTGGAGCTCTTTGGAGCTTTGGGAGGTTTCTAATTATTTGAAGAGTCCCATGTAAGACTGCTACTGCTGAACAACCCTCACCTTTCTCCAGTTTCTAAAAGTCCACTCCAGGTTAAGGGACTATAATAAAGGGACGGACTTGTTCTAAGTACACCATATACATCTATAGAATTATCACAGTGAAATCCCTGTGTGCTATTAATATACGCTAATAAAAAGGAAAAATTCCCTATTAGGGTCTATGATAATTTTACAGACAATCTAAAGGACAAAGCATGATGGCCATCCCAACTGCCAGAGTCTTCAGTTCTCTTCCATTTCAGATGTATTGACTACAACGGCAGCAAACATAACATTCTGTATTTTGCACGGAAGTGTTAATCTGTTTCCCATAATGCTCCACAGACTGGGAAGTCATTCTTAATGCTTTTTTATCAGATAAGGCTGACCAATGTTCTTAGCGCCTCTTAAAGACAGTTTGGTTACTCATAATTTTTAATGATCTGAAAATACACTGTAATGAACATCTTTATAAATACAGATTTTACTTTTAAGGAAAAACCAGATGATTTATGAAACACGAAAATAAGAAACAAATGATCTAAGGGTATATGTGTATCTTAACATCTGGTCAGTAAATCAACTGATCAGACCATTAATCTATTTTTCTATTCCTTGCCTTTTTTCAAAATAGAATTTAAGGTGTCAATCTTATTTAATTTTTAATTTTTAGTGGCACTGGGGTTTGAACCCAGGACCTCACGCTTGCTCGGCAGGCACTCTACAACATGTGCCACTCCACCAGCCCTCTTTTGTGATAAGTTTTTCAAAACAGAGTCTCGCTAACTATTTGGCCCAGGTTTGAACTATGATCTTCTTGACCTCTGCCTCCTCTGTAGCTAGGATTACAGGCATGAGCCACAGGTACCCGGCTTAAGGTGTCTATTTTATTTTTAAATGTTTAAGTAAAGTTGTGACTATGTCAGACTAAAACTCTGGTGATCTGATCTTCAGTTGCTAATCCCCTGAGTTTGGGGAAATGATCAGAAGGGAGAATCTACATCAACCTGAGGGAAAAAGCATTATATTTTGGAGATAAAACATTACTTCTTGCTGTTTTGTTTTAGAATATATATTTTGCTGCTGTTCAGAGATTAGTAGTTAAATTCTTCTACAAGTTATATCTGTTGTCTATTCAAAACAAACAAACACAGAACACACCCCAAAACAACAAAGTTGTCTGGAGAGGGGACAGGGTGAAAGTTGTGCAGAAGCCTGCCCCGCCTCTATGTCTGCAGCTTTAACTTTAATTTTTTTAAAAAAGAGCAAGTCAAAAATCAACCCTAACTGGCTGGGTTGTCAGGAGAGCTGGGTTCTGTGAAACATTCCACTGGGTCGCTCATCAAATTGCCTACATTTCCTAGGCCTCCATTTCTCCTCAGTTAAAATAAAAGAGGAGAGGGAAGAGAGGGAAGGTAAAGGGCTACAATCTCTCACATCCTTTTTCAAAATTTAGTTTTTGAAAAGAAACTATTGAAAAAATTTATTTTTTGAGGTACTGGGGTTTGAACTCAGGGTCAGCACCTTGAGATATTCCACCAGCCCCCTTTTTTTGTGTGTGATGGGTTTTTAAAAGTAGGGTCTCATGAACTATTTGCCCAGGCTGGCTTTGAACTGCAGTCCTCCAGATCTCTGCCTCCTGAGTAGCTAGGATTACAGGTGTGAGCCACTGGCACCCGGCAAAATTTAAGTATTTTAAATAAGACTTGCTTAGCAAGTCATTTAAAAAAATAACAGTAAATCCAAGGTCAAGTATACTGGAATTTCTGCCATTGGAGACTTAGACTACTTGGAATTCCATTTGGGTAACCCGTGAGGTGACAATTAATTCTCTCTGTTGTGTAAAATATATTTATGTGGGTGAAGAACCACAGCCATGAATTTAATACGCTGGCCTGGCACAGTAAGGGGACCAGCTCTGGTCCTTTGCTTCTTCCACAGCATTTTCTGAGAAACTCCATGGTGAGGGAAAGAGAAAGGGCAAGGGATGCAAAAAGGAAGGTGCTAGTCCTGCCCAGGAACTGTGACAACCGTTCTCCAGCAGGAAAATCATCCAGAAGTTGTCATTGGGAAGGGTGACAGCCTTGGTCTCTTTTTCTAGACATTCCAGCAGGACCTCTGAGCCCATGACCCCCACACTGGATGCAGGTACCAACCTGAAAAACCGAGGCTGGTGCTCCACACTGTTTTCTTCTAAGACCCGCCGCCTCTCTCTCTGTAGCTGTTCAATCCTCTGCTTTTGTATTTCAGCTTCTTCTATATTCCCTTCTTCTAGAAACCTGAGGCATTCAGGGAAAAAAGTGAAAGAATATTAATTCCAAGAAAACATAATGGTCATTTCTACTAAACTTCCATATGCTCAAGACTATATATTCAAAATCTTCTATACTCCCATCTTGAGGCAATATTTTGAGGTAAAGAGGGAAGATATCATCTTATGAACTGCTGATATATACAGGGTTCAAAACTATCCTATCAAATGGAATTTAGGGCAAAGTCTCCCTCTCTTCCTCATCTCTAATTCCATCCCCTTCGTCCTCTCACCAGGGCAATCCTTTGTTATTAGCTTCTTGGATATCCTTCTAGAGATTCTTTATGTGTATTTATGCAAATATAAGCATATATTCTTTTTTTTTATTCGTTTATTCATATGTGCATACATTGTTTGGGTCACTTCTCCTCCCTGCCCCCGGTATTCTTGTCCTTCTGTTTTAAAAACCTAAGTGATAGCACACTGAACATATGTATACACCTTGGGTTTTTTGTTTTGCTTTACTTTTTTATTTAACAACGTATTATGGAGATCTTTCCGTGTGTGTGTGTGTGTGTGTGTGTGTGTGTGTGTCTAGTGCTGGGATCAAACCCAGGGCCTTGCACATGTTAGGCAGGCACTCTCCCACTGAGTTAGATGTCAACCCAAAATCTTCATTTTTCAATATTCATGTTTAAATTTTTAATATAAAAAAAATACTCAGTTGTGTGGCTATAGCTCAGTTTACTTAAACAATTCTCTATTGACAGACAGGTTGTTCCTAATTTTTTTTTTTTTTGTGGCAGTACTGTGGTTTGAACTCAGGGCCTTGCATTTACTAGGCAACAACTCTATATCACTTGAGCCACATCCCCAGCCCTTGTTCCTAAAATTTGAACATTACAATTAATGATTAAACAAATTATTTTATATATTCATCATATTACATGTGGGAAAGCACATTTGCTTTTTTTCTCTTTTCTTTTCTTTTTGGCAGTACTGGGGCTTGAACTCAGGACCTCACACTTGCTAGGCCAAGCGCTCTACCATTTGAGCCACTCCTCCAGTCTGGGAAGGCGTACTGTAGGAGAAATTTGGAGAAGTGGAATTTCTGGGGTCAAGGGTATCTGTAATTTATGTATTACCAAGCTGTCCTTTATGGGATTACAGCAATTTACATTCCCATCAGCATGCCTGGATGCCCTCTTCTCCCACTGCCTCATCATTTTTGTCAATTTGATAAGAAATGGTTTGTTTTTGGCTGATGGAGGGCCTCAAGCAGTAGAGGGCCTGCTTAGCAAGCCCAAAGCCCCAAGTTCATACCCCAGTGCTGCCAAAATAAAATTAAAGAAATGGTATGGGGAATTAGGGAGGAAGAAAGGAAAGGATACGGAGGGGTGAAGAGGATGGAAATAAGGGAGCATAATGAGACCCACCACGTACTGCTGGAAAAAGGGGAGGGAACAGGAATATAATGGAGTGGGTGAACTTGCTCACAGTACAAATGCACGAAATTATCACAGTGAAATCTCCTCAGATGATTGATGCACACTAATTCAAAAATAAAATCAAATAAAGAAGAAATGCTATGTGCATGTGGTTTTAACAACCAGCACTTTTCCTATCTTGAGTGAGGCTGAACCTCTTTTCCTATGTTCACGGAACACACGTGTTTCCTGGTCTGTGAATTAGATACTTTCTCATAACCATTTTTCTAATGGGCTGATGTACTACTTGATTTCCAGCACTAACTCGTAGTACGCATTGTTTATCATTTATCTTTTGACCTTGACCTACCTTTTGACATTTTTACATACTTTGCCACTAAGAAGGCTTTTAAAAGATTTATTTATCCATTTATTTGTTTTATTATTACTATTATTTTTGGAGGTATGGAGATTTGAATTCAGGGCCTTGTGCTTTTTAGGCAGGAGTTCTGCCACTTGACCACTTGAAACAGGCTTTTTCCCTTTATAAAAAAATAGTCAATTGTAGCGATCTTTTCCTTCTTTCAAACTTTTGAGTCTTAATCAGAAAGGCCTTAGGGGTGAGACTATTAGTTCCATCTTACAGAATAGGATATTGAGGCTGAGAAAAATTAAAAGACTTATACATCCCATAATGTGTTAATAGCAAACCTCAATTAGAAGTTAGACCTCAATGCAGCAAAAAACCTTAAATTTGAGGGGTCATGAGTTGATGGTCTTTATTCTTTTAAATAAACAATAAATTATTATTGCATGCCATAAAACTCTTCAAAATAAATTTTTTTTTTTTTTTTGGTATTTCAACGGAAATGGGGCTTTACTGATGAAGCAAGCCATGTCATACATGGATTGAAGCTGGTCTCTCAATCCTCACGACACTGTTGTTCAAAGTCCCCTACACCCCCTACTAGGAGACAATGTCTGCCTCTCTCAGGCTCCTCGGGTGGTCTGGGAGCTGTTAATACTGGTGCTTGTGTTCTGTCTTGTTTTTGTTTTTTAGAGACAGGGTTCACTACACAGTCTAGGCTGACCTTGAACTTGGCAATCCTACTGTCTCCCAAGTGCTGTTATTACAGGAATACACTACCACACCCAGCTCAATACCACTTATAGATTTTAAAAACCAAAATCTCTGGAAAGAAAGATCTTTAAAAATCCTTACCTTTGATCTGGTCTAAATCGAGTGTCGGTAGGTGGTAATAAAGACTTTGACAATGAATCCATTTCATTTAACTCCAACGCAAACTGTGTGAAGCCGTAATACTGCTCACAGCCTTTCGGCATGGGATCTAAAACAGAAACAAATCATTCGTTCCTAGCTTGCTTTTCATCTATGTTACATTTTAGTTCTTTTTTGTTAATCTCAGATCAGCTACAATTTCTCTCTCAGCTCCAAACTGTTCCCTTTGTATTAAAATTTTCTGACTTAACAAGTAGATGCTGAATATTTCCCTATGAACTTTCTTCTCTATAAATTTTCTTCTGTCTTCAGGGATATGGCCTCTTTTGCCTGGTCCTGTAGTGAATTTTCTGTACTGTTTGAGCTGTAAAATAATTTGCTATTAAGTATACCTAAAAAGAACTCTGGGTCCTTTTTCCTGATCAGCCATACACTTTCTCTAGAACATCCATTTTTTCATGGAAGTGATGTCAAACTCTCCTGCAACAGTAGAGTAGTTTGAACAGTGCTGAACTAAGTGATCAATCAATATTAGTCTTTTCTTCCATTCTTGTCCTTCTTCTCATCCCCTAAATTCTTATCCCCTAAAATCCTATATCATATATATAGATACAGGTTGTACGAGGCTTTGAACTCAGGGCCTTGTGCTTGCTAGACAGGTGCTCTATCACTTGAGCCACACTTTAAGCCCTTTTTGCTTTAGTTATTTTTTTGGATAGGGTCTGGAATTTTTTTTTTTTCTTTTGGCAGTACTAGGGATTGAACCCAGGGCCTCAAACGTGCTAGGCAGGCACTCTACCACTTGAGTCACTCCACCAGCCCAGGTCTGGAGCTTTGGCCAGAGGCTGGCCTTGGACTGTAATCCTCCTACCTATGGCACCAGTGCAGCAGCTGGGATGACAGACATGTACCACCACATATCTTATTTGTTGAGATGTGGTCTCACTAACTTTTTGCCTAGGCTGGCCTTGAACCAGGATCCTCCCAATCTCTGCCTCCTGTGTAGCTAGGATTATAGGTGTATGCCACCATGCCTAGTCCCAAAATATTACATCTTAATTTTAGGATCATGAAGTGTATTGCTCTAACTTGAATTTCAGCTAAAAATCAAGTTAAACACAGACAAGTTTATATATTAGGCAAACACAATAGGCTAATAAAATCTGCCTACAGCCTCAGTTCTCACTATTCACACATCCAAAATACACGTTTCCCATGAACTTTATTGCAGCCCTACGTTTTGAAGTGTTAAAAAGCCTCCTTGTAACTGGTCCAATTGTCTGTATATTCCAAGCTTCCACCCCAGCTCCTCAACTGCCAGAGTGGAGACAGTCATTATCCTTAAAGATGGGCCAATGAGCCTCATGGCCAAGGCAAAAACATAGGGTGGAGGAGTAACACCATAACCACTTCAACAATGTCCTCTACAGTCATTCCTCTTACTACAGGAATTCTGCTCAGGCCACCATGTGCCCTCTCCAGGGGATGCATTCAAATTCATCTCAGTCTTTCCTGCCCATCCTGTTGTCCATACGTGGTCCACGGATGAAGTTTGAACCCACTTCAGGCTGATGTACTGTGCAGACATATTTGCTGGGGGACGCTAGGAAATATTGCATTCCCAAGAAAAGGGAGGTGGACAGGAAGTGAGCACCTCTATCCTCCCCTTCCTTCCTGCGTAGCACACAGTCCTACAGGGATATGATACTGAGTTGTGACAACTGTTTTTCCATGCAAGAAGGAAAATGTCACAGTCCATTAGGAGTGGGAGAAAGTGTCCTCACTGATCTGTGTCTTTGAAACCTGTTAAGTTGCTAATGTAACAGCTCACTCCTCACATATCCTCGTAGGCTTTCTTTTTTTTTTTTCTTATCAGCCTTAGGCATCCTAAGAACACTAATTTTGCAGTATGACCTAATGTAGAAACAACTATCTTTTAGACCAGAAGGTAGGCATGCTGAGGGAGGCTGCCTTCACTACCTACCACCTTTTCCCCAGCTGCTTTTCAGGGACTCCATGTCCTCTGCAATTACAGAGAAGATACGGATGGCCTATGAGTTGGGTCAACCTGGAATCCCTCACTCTTTTGGAACCTCCAGGTCACTCTGTTTTTCCAGGTTAATGTTTTCTCTTGGTTGGTATTTTAGAAAGATTTCCTCATTTCATTGACACTCCATCATGGTGCCCCCACTGTCCCATGTGTATCCTAGTAATGGCTTCCTTCTGGAGCTAACAATCCAGGACCTAGCAGCCCAGCTGAGTTGTGAGGTCAGCATGTCATGGACTTTGAAAGTTGGTTAGATGAAGGAAAGGTGCTCCAATGCTGCTCACCTGGCTCCAGGAAGATGGAGGCCGGAGAGGCAGAGTGGACTGACCCCTGCCCAGCCCAGTTTCCCTGCCTGCCCACCAGCCTGCTCTCTGCCAGACATGGCTGAGCCCCACTCACTGGCTCTCCAGATGCACGTGGAGGATGAGGAGCCTCCGCAGTAGATGCTCTCGTGCCACTTCCCAAACAACCGGTGCACAGCCTTCCCACTCCTGTCCAACACCGTGCCTTCAATCTCATGGGCATTAGTGCTCCAGTATTTTGCCTAGGATGCAAATGAGAGTGGTCAGGACTATAAAGAAAAACAAGAGGAGGAATGGTAAGAGTGATTCTATACTGCATATGGTTGGTCAGTTCTGGATTCTGTTTGTTTAGCAAATAAGAATTGTATATATTTATCATGTACTCCATGATATTTTGAAATATGCATACATTGTAAAATGGCTAAATCAAGGTAGTTAACATTACCTCACATATTTTGATGGTTTTGGTAGTACTGGAGTTTGAACTCAGGGCTTTGTGCTTGCTAGGCAGGCACTCTACCACTTGAGTCACACCTCCAGTCCTCATGTACTATTACTATGAGAGCACTTAAAAAACTACCCTTAACAATTTTCTAGTATATGATACATTGTTATTAACTCTCTTTACCATTTTGTACAGTAGATCTCTTGAATTTATCCCTCCCAACTGAAATTTTGTGTCCTTGACAGAAAAATTCTCCAACCATCACCATTCCACTTTCTGCTTCTATGAGTTCATGATCTCTCATATAAGTGAGATCATGTTTTTCTGTGCTTGGCTTAGCAGTATGTTTGCCAGGCTCATCCATATTGTTGCAAATGATGGGACTTCATTCTTTTTCATCACTGAATAGTATTCAGTGATGAAATACTATTTTCTTTCTCTAGTCATCTGTTGATGGATACTTATACTGGTTCCTATCTTGGCTAGTGCTGGAATGAAGACAGGAGTGCAGATGTCTCTTCCACATGCTGATTTCATTTCCTTTGACTACACACCCAGGTGTGGGACAGCTGGAGAACATGGTAAATGGTTCTAAGGAACCTCCATCTGCTTTCCCTAATGACTGTACTAATTTACATCCCCACCATTTTCTCTACCTTCTTCCCAACACTTAGCTTTCATCGTTCTGATAATAGTTAGTCTAAGAGGTGTGAGGTGATATCTCATTGGGATTTAATGTACATTTCCTTAGTGATATGGAGCACTTTGTCATATATCTGTTGACCATTTGTGTAACTTGAGAAATATGTAATCAGGTGCTTTGCCCATTGTTTCTTTTGGGGTACTGGGAACTGAACCCAGGGCATTGAGATATAACCCTAACCCCTATGCTAGGGCCTTAATTTTTTCCCCCCTTTCCTAGGGTTTTAAAAATAAGATTGTTTTCTTGCTGTTGAGTTGAGTTTCCTATTTTTTGTATATTAAAAAAATACTGGAGGCTGTCTCTTCACTATTAATTGTTTCCTTTGCTGTGCATAAGCTTTTTACTTTGATTTAATTCCATTTGTCTTTTGTTGCCTGTGCTTTTGGGGGCCTATCAAAAAAACACCATTGCTTAGACCAATGTCAGAGAGCTTTTACCACTGTTTTCTTTGAGTAGTTTTACAGGTCTTATGTTTTCATCTTTAATCCATTTTGATTTTTGCATGTGGTGTGAAACACAGGTCTAATTTCATTCTTTTGCATGTGGCTCTCCAGTTGCTCCAACACTGTTGAAGAGACTGTCCTTTCTCACTGTGTGCCCCTGGTACCTTTGTTGAAAATCAATTCACTGTAAATGCATGGACTTATTTCTGGGCTTTCTATTTTGTTCCCATTGGTCTATGTGTCTGCATTGAGGCCCGAGTTTTCTTTTTAAAAACATACCTATAGTTATTTAATAAAAAATAATGATTAACCTTATATTTATAGTTTGTAACTCTATGGCCAACATTTGTTACCCCATCTCCTTTAATTTCCTACATGCAGTGTAGGAATGAAAGGCTCAGTTCTGCTCTCAGACGCTGGCCAAGTAGGGTGGTCAGTGCTACAGTCCCCTCTGTGGAGCAGCTTTTCCATGGCTGTCACTGTAACTCTGACCATCACAATTTTAAACAATTAACTGATTTTTTTTTTTTTCTGAAGGAACTAAATGATCATTTACAAACCAATCAAAAGGGTGGCTTCCGTTTTCTGGTTATTATTTTTCCCCCACACTAGGACTGTTTATCTGGCCTAAAGACACCTACTGCAACCATTCTTACTGTGTATTGGTTGTGGCCTGACTTAGCCTTGCACGTGGCTCAGTTCAATTCTGTCCAGCTCATTCCTGCTCAGACCAGAGCGCTCAGCTCAGCTTTGCAGGTTTTATGCAGTACCATGCTCTAGTCAGCAGAGGGAGCTCCAACTCCCTAGAGGTGATTTTTTTTTTTTTTTTTTTCTCAACTCTCCCAACCACCTTTAAAATCTCTATGAAGTACAGGCAAAAATCCCACTGACCAACAAACAGACACCTACACAATTAAGGATAAGAGTGAAAAAACAGGTCACACTAAGGGAGGGCATTAATGGGAGGGGGAAGGTATAAGGATGAATATGGGTGATGTACTTTCTATACAAGAATGAATATAGAATTTTTAATCTTGTTGAACTCACCATAAGAGGAGGACTGAGGTAGAAAGGAGAAAAGTGGAGGAGATGAACCAATTCAGGGTATAATACATATACATATACATAGAAATGTCATAATGAAACTCTCTGTACAGATATCTTAAACAAACAAGTGAATAGGTCCTTAAAAAAAACTATGAAGAGCAGAAGGCATTTCTCCATAAATCAAAAATCCTACCACTATTTTCAGCTGAAACAATTCGTATTTGGAAGCCCATAAATTTGAGTGGCGTTTTCAGGTTATCTTCCTCCAAGGCTGTTGGTAGAAATGGGAAGGTAGGGAGGGAGCAGTGACATCTCAGAGGTGAATGAGAAATTTTAAATTGAGTTCCTCAGTTATATAAAAGTGGGAAGGAAAGAAAACACAGCCCCGATACTTAAGTTTATTGGGAAACAGGGGTCAGATTTTCTCTTAGAGTTAATGTCAGGGGGTGGGGGCAGGGGGGAGAAATGAACCAAGCCTTGTATGCACATATGAATAATAAAAGAAAAAAGAAAAAAAAAAGAGTTAATGTCAACAAATCCAACACTGACAATTGGACAGGAAGCCACAGAGGGCACAGTCAAATTCCATGGGTAATTAGCTTTAAGATTCTCTTTCAATGTCAGAGGCACGTCCAATGTTCATCTCTCACAACTACAAAAATCCCTTCTCTGAAACCAGGCCTGGTGACACACACTTAGAAGCTGAGGTAAGAGACTCACAAGTTCAAGGTCAGCAAGGGCTACATAGCAAGACTCTGCCTCAAAAAAAGAAAAGAAACAAATTCCTTCTCCAATCCTGGCTGGATAAGAACCAGGTGTGTGGTGGATATGGGAGTTGAGCACATTTCCTTGGGGAAAATGTTGGGAATGGGTGGTTTCCACCTGGTTCAGGGAAAACATATCCCTGGTCCAGGTTGCCTTTTGTTTTTTTGGCAGAGGGTTTAGGCAAAGCTTTCAAAGTAGGATCATTTTTATTTTGCCCCAAAAGTAAAGTCATGACTAGTTTATGTTTGTCTACAACCCCATCTGACTTTAGATTATAACAAAGACCCCAACTGGTATCATCATACATGTCCCTTATGGGTCACACGTGGTTCAGAGAGCTAGTGCATGAAATTCCATAAGTGGAAGCCCATCTCTTAGTGCATGGTTTGATCTTAGTGAAATGTAGATACTCTTTGACAAGGGTAATGCTTTAAAGTCATGATTTTTAAGGGAAAGAAGAATCCTGTGGGGTGGGGAAGGATCTCAATTCAAGGCAATTGTAGAATGATCCCATATTTTTTGGTATCTGGCCCATCTTTCCATTTATCTCTGAATGTTAGGAGCCTCTGCTGAGAGCCAGGATCCATTTCCAGGCAGCAGGACTAGTGAAAAATCCTTCAAAATGGCCTGTGTCTTGAGAACTGGATCTGCCTCGGCCCTTCCAGCATCAGTTACCTTTATGAAGTTCACTTTGCAGTGGCAGGAATCATCACTCAGGTTCTTGATGACAATCTCTCCATAGTGCTCAATCCACCTCTGTCCACTTAAGATGTTGTGGATGCAAGAGGTCACTTTGTTCCACTCAAAATGATCTCCAAAACTAAAAGGGAGGAAAAAGCCAAAGTAACAATTCCCAGCAGAGCCAGCAGCAGATGCAAACAAACACTGCTATCTCATAAAGTGAGTCAGGTAATGAATCTCTTATCCCTTCACTCATGGACCCTGTGCTGACTGAGTGTCTGCAAGGCTCTGGATAGCCCGTGAATTGCCATTCCCTAAGGAGTCACTCATGCCACAGACGACAACAGCAGTTGACCCCTGTACTCTGGCGAAGTTGGTGGTCTCCTGGATCATCCACTCCCCTCCTTCTACAAATGAGGCAACTGAGAGGCGGAGGTAACAAAGTCACCAAACTAGGAAAGGGAAGTAGGTGGCAGGAAGATAATAGGGTTTTATACAATTCGCTGATTACACATTGCTTACATCTTTTACCATGAGAAATATTCTGATATTACTTGTGTAGTTAAATAATAATTATGAGGAATTAGTAATAAGACCACTTATAAGCACATTTATGTGGCAAGTACTATTTTAAATGTGTTTTATCTGCTTAATCTTCAGAATTGCCCTGTGAAGCAGGTGGCTTATTACCCCTATGTCACAGGGAACTGGTGATGATGTAGGTGCAGCAGCCTGCCCAAGGGTTGCCATGAGCAAGCAGCAGATGGAGCATGAGGACCTGGGCAGGCTGGTTCCAGCGTTCCAGCTGATAATCATTTTGCATAAGTAAGTATCAATATTCCCTGTCAGATCAAGGCCATGTCTTAAAGAGAATTTTGACAGTGAGGCAGGATCACAATGTTAAAGAAAAACTACCATCCTTAATCTTGTTAGTAAGTGGGAGTGAGCTTTTAAAGAGCTTCTGTCAGAGAACTTTGGTCTGTACAAGGTATTTCCACTTGAGAGAGAGAAAACATGAACTTATGAGATTGCCCAGTTGAGGCAATTTGAATCTACTGCCAAACAGATTCAAAGAAAAAAATGGAGCTGGAGATGTAGCTCAGTGGTAGAGCACTTGCCTAGCATGCCCAAGGCGCTGGATTCTACTCCTAACAAGAGAAAAGGAAAAAAGATACCCTAAATGCCTTGAGGGATGGTGAGGATTCTGCCCCTGAAGTGTATTCTTGGTCCTAAATTCTGTAAGTTCCTAACCACACAAAGCAACTTACGCAGGTAAAGTCACATGGGTTGTGCCAATTGGGACGATTTCCATGGATTTGCCCCAGAATTTGTTTTTCCATCTCACATCTGAAATGAAATACAAAATGTTACATACTTGGCAGAACAGTTACATAGATCAGAGAGTTCTTAAGACTAGATAAGTGATCAATCGCTACATAGTACAGCTTCTGATTCACATCAATTATTCTATAAGATGACATTTTATACAATAAAAATACCAGTTGGGAACCTGAAACAGAACCAGAGAAACTAAAATTATAAAGTCCTTCCCTTTGAAGAGTTACCAGCATGAACTCAGACAGAAGTAAAAACAAGTATTGACCACACAGAGACAGAGGCTGTAACTAAATGTGTTGCATGGTGAAATGAAAGTGACCTTGGGGAAGGCATGAGAAGAGGCTTGTCAGAAGGAGACATTTAAACAGGGCCTTGTAGAATATGAAGGAGTTTACCAGGCACAGGAAAGACAATTCAAGGCAAAAGAAACAGCTTATTCAAGGAGGCAGAGACATAAGAGTATAGAGTGTGGTTCTATCTTATAGGTCTGAGATTGTCTATATAGAAGAGCAGAAAGTCAGATTAAGCACATAAAACAGTGAGCACTACAAGCCAGGCTAAGAAGTCTGGTTTGTGTGCACTGGGAGAAAATAAACAGGGAACAGACATGATTAGATACAGACCTTGCAAAGATAATTGAAAGCACATGGGGAAGGGCACAGGGTAGGAGAGATTAAAAGCAAGATAATAAATTACGAGGGGATTGTAGTTGCCTAGGAGAAAACAAGAATGAAGTAAACCAAGTTAATAGCTGTGGGATGCAGTGAGCCCATAAATACTAAACAAGGAGAAATAGACAGAACTGAGTGGCAAATTAGACACCAACTGAGAAAGAAAGGGAATACTTACAAATAGTGTCAGACTTTTCTAACTTGCATAAATGGTGGTATAAACAAAGGAGCCAGGGAAAAACAACAACAACAAAAGAATAGTAGAGAGTCCTGTCTGGGTGTTACACTGAGGACAGACAGATTATAGGAAATAAGGGCGGAAGCAGAGAAGTCAGAATATATGGCTGCATGACTGTGGCCCAGGTGAAAGGGGTGGGACTGTGGTGAGGAAGCACTTGGCCACATAGCACATGGCTCCATTATGTGAAATACCCCAGACAGACAAATTTATACAGACAGGAAATAGACAAGTAGTTGTCTAAAGGCTGTTGAAGGAAACTGGAGGGCTTGCTGAAGGTTTTCTTTTTGGAGTCAATGAAAATTTTCTAAAATTAATTGTGGTGATGACTATAGGACTGAATATAATAAAACCATTGAAATATACACTTTAAATGGATGAATTATAGAGTATGTGGATATATTTCAATAAAGTTGCTATCAAAAGAATAAAAGAGAATTGGCCATTTAGGAAAAAATGACAATGTATTAAAGAGCTTATATAACATATATATATTTAGGTAAAAGTGTATATAGATAAAAGAGCATAGAATTGGGAGAGGGAAAACAGAAATTGTATATTTTACTAAGTTTCTTATAGTACACATAAAGTGATATAATATTACTTGATGATAGGTTGTAATACATTAAAATATGTAATATGATTCTTAAAGTAACAGCTAAGAAACAAAACAGAGAGGTATAGATAATAAGCCAACAGAGGAGATCAAATGGAATTATAGAAAGTATTCAATTAACCCAAAAGAAGCAGAAAGAGAGGAAAGAACACATGACAAACAGCAAATAACAGAAGGTCTGAATAAAATCCAACTACATCTATAATCCCAATAAATGTAAATGGGCTAACCAACCTAATAAAAAGGCAGAAAAATGTCATGGGGGTTATGGACCTAGGAAATAGGCAGAATTGGCCAGGAAAAGGAAGATGAACAAAAGAGCTGAGGAGGAAACTGTGTAACACAGGAAGCTACTAGAGAGGACTCTGAGAAGACCCTCCCATTAAAAATGCATAGCTTTAAGGGCTGGGGCTACAGCTGAAGTGGTAAGGCACTTGCCTAGCAAGCTTAAGGGTCTGGACTTGGTCCCCAGTACTGCAAAAAAAAAAAAAAAAATATATATATATATATATATATATATATATACACATATATAACTAAATATATGCATAAATACATATATATATATATATAAAATAGGGCCAATGAGATTTGGAAATTGGGAGTTTAGAAACCTTATGAGATTATTTCCAGAAGGCTTTTTTAGTGAAGGGTAGAGAAATTTTAAATCAAGCTTATTTAAACTTTAATAACAAAGATTAAGAAAAGAAATCATGGTACTCTTAACATTAAAGTGGTAATAGTGACTGTCTCTAGATGGAGTTGCTGGGGAAAGGGATGGAGATCAGTAGGTGTTACAGTATGCTGTTTGGTACTTTAAATTTTTTTTTTTTTTGGCAGTACTGGGGTTTGAACTCAGGGCCTTCACCATGAGATTCTCCACCAGCCCTATTTTTGTGCAGGGTTTTTCAAGGTAGGGCCTTATGAACTATTTGCCTGGGCTGGCTTTGAACTGGGATCCTCCTGATCTCTGCCTCCTGAGTAGCTAGGATTATAGGTGTGAGCCACTGATGCTCAGCTATGTACTTTAAAATTTTTGCAAAGATATATGCATATGTATATATACATACAATGTGGGAAAGGCAATTGGGAAATCAGGCAATATTATTATTAGCAAAGAAAATTATTTTAAAAACTGTTAAGTGCTCAGTTTGAAAACCCAAGGTGCTAGTATTTTCTCTTTATAGTATACTCCAATCTTTTGCATGAAGGAAGACAGTAACAAAATTAATTAACCCTCCTAGGAAATATCTACAGTCTTCTTTACTATTTATTTTTGAGAAAAACTTGCCACCCTCCTCCCCTATCCAAAAATATAAACTGCAGCCAGTTGTCATGGTGGAGGCTTGTAATATCAGCACTCACAAGGCTAAAGCAGGAAGATTACAAGTTTGAGGCCAGCCTGGACTACACAGTGAGACTCTGTCTCAAAAATTAAAAAAACAAAACAACCACCAACAAACAAAAACAACCTGAAAAAAGTTTTAGGAACAACAAACTTAAAACTAAAATGTGAGTTTGGGGATGTAGCTCAGGGTTGAGTGCTTACCTAGCATGCGCAAAGTCCTGGGTTCAATCCCCAGTAGTACAAAGCAAAGCAAAACAAAACAAACCCCGAAAAGAAATCAGCAATATAAAATGGGATTTTGGAAATAAAATTTAAAATTTTCAAAAGTAAAAAACTCATTTGGTTGTTGTCTACACTCTGACGAATAGCTGGAACTACTTAGTGTCTCTTATAATAAGTGAGGCATTTCAAGTGGTTGTGGAATAAGATAAAGGAAAAATCAAAGGAATAAATGGTGGTGACTCAGATAAAGATTGAGGCAAAAATGAAATGATATCCCTGAATATTTAATAATCCACTAACATAAAATACTTAACATCAATCAATGAATAAATAGCAAAAATCAATTACTATTCAGAGATGAGAGATGGGAACACCAAGTACAGCAGACCCTCTATGAGTTCTAAGTCCTATAAGGACCACTTATGGCAGCATTTACACCAATTCCTAAATAACATAAACCTACAGGGTTATTCAAAATGGAAGTAAAATATATTAGCACATTACCTTGCCAGAAAACAAAATTTCCAGACTCAGCGTGACAGGCAGAGATAGGGGGATGGTGGCTGACCTGGTGAAAACAAAGGGTAAAAAACAAAAAGTGAAGAATGTTTTGTATTTCATGAAATCCATCCTTTCTCCCTTGCTCTCAGATGTGACACAAGGTGCAGTGTTTGAAGGAAAACTTCTGTAGTTTCCTTTAACAAGTCTGACCTCAAGAGGGCACTCCCGATACAGTCAGCTCAGTCTTGCTCAGGTCAAGATGAGAAGAAAGCTGGAAATGGAAGGAAGCCTAAGGAAGTTTCTGGAATCTTCCCTGGAAGGGTGGTCCAGTAGCAGGTAATGAGGGTTAGAGACATGTTTTGAAAGGTGTAAAATAAAAAGACAGACACTGGCCCGCTCATAGGCCAAATGATCTGATGATTGGCTACCAGTGTCAACATCTTTTAGGTGTTCTGAAAATACTTGTGAATAATTTAACTAAGATGTCAAAGAACAAGTGTTTTACCATGCTACTTCTAAGAAACACAAAAACAGTCTCCCTTGAGCTCAGCAAATTTAACTCTTGAAAACTGTACCACCAAGTCTAGATTCTTCTCAAGTCACCTACAAAATGGTTGATCCAAAATAAATTTTTAAAAAACATTTTTTGGTATAAAATGAAGAAATACACAATTGTTGAGGAAAGTTCACTAGCTCCCAAGAAAAAATGTGTTTATCTATTATCAAAATTTTAAAAATACCTTTAATAAATAAATAAATGTAATAATCACATCCCAGAAAAGACAATCCCTGGTAATAGAGACTGCTTCTTGGGGATGGCTCATTACTTGTTTTAATTCATCAGCTAATAAGCTAAAGAGAAAATGACTTCTCTGTTCCTTTTCCTCCTTATCTCAGTAACTCTCAAGACACATGTTCTGTTGTTGTAATTCAGTACTAATAAAAGCCAGAGTCATGCTAGCAGTGGTGTTTCCAGAAATCTCTCTGACTTAACTGGTTCTCAGCCAAGAAACCTTATATTTAGAGTATCCAGCCCAAAGTCTTTCATATTACAAATGTGGAGCCCAAAACCAGAAAGACTGAGTAATATTTCCCAAGCCACACAGATAGTTAGGAAAGCAATAGAGGAAAAACTAGGATTTTGGTTTACCTCAATGTTATTCAACTTTCAAAAAAAAAAAAAGTTTTAAACAGCTGCACCCTGTTTACAAATGCATCTTGTCAAGAACTCTGAATGCTGAACTCTACCTGAGAAGGCCAGGTGTGTGTGTGAGGTGAGAAGGGGAGGACAAGGGATGGCAAATCCACAGCCACTTGCCTGCTCTGGACCCTCAGCTGTGCTGAGGAGCATGGTTTGCAAACCACTTCTCAGGTGAACTGTAGGGATGGAATGATCCACAGCTGGGAGCCACATAGATACAAGTAACTGGTGGACCGCCGCTGAGCCAGCTTGGGCCACAGAGAAGTACAGAGAGAAACCAAAAAAGTGGGCCCATCTTTCCATTACTCAATGAAGGAAAATCTCAGCTGCTATGTGAAGCAGGAGATGTAATGTGCTGTTGTTGGTTTGTCTTAGCTCCCCACTAGCCTCTTAAAACCCCTGACTGTCCTGCGGGCTTTTCAAGGTCAATTTCTGCTTCAAGCACTGACTTAGTAGAGACCTAACTCCTTACAACTCTCCTTTCCTTTGTTGTCATTTAAGAATCCAACCACATGGACACACTTTATATTACAAAATGCTGCATTTGAAAACAAATGCTGTCAAGGATGCAATTAAACAGGAAACCTTATACGCAGTTGGTGGGAATGCAAATTAGTACAACCACAATGGAAAGCAGCATGGAGATTCCTCAAAAAGCTAAAAATAGCTGGGCAACTTTTACTCACGCCTGTAATCCTAGATACTCAGGAGGCAGGTATCAGGAGGATCGTGGTTCAAAGCCAGCAAATGGTTTGTGAGACCCTATTTTGCAATACCTGACACCAAAATATCTAACACCAAAAGGGCTGATGAGTGGCTCAAGCTGTAGACCCTGAGTTCAAGCCCCCATACCATAAAAACAAAACAAAACAAAACAAAAACCCAACAAAACAACAAGAAAGCAAAATCTAAAACTAGAACTGCCATATGATCCAGTGATAATAGAGGCACCTGTACATCAATGTTCATCACAGTACTATTTCCAATAGCCAAGCTATGGAAACAACCCAGATGCCCTACAACTGATGGATTAGGTATGGATCAAGAAAATGTGGCATATATCTGTATCTATATCTATCTATCTATCAACACACACACACACACACACACAGGGAGTTTTATTCAGTCATAAGGAAGAATGAAATCATGTGGTTTAAAGTTAAATGGATGCATTTGGAGGACATCATGTAAGCCAGGCTCAGAAAGACAAAGGCCGAATGTTTTCTCTCGTATGTGGAAAATGGAGCCAAAAGATAAACATACACTCAAAAACAAACATGATCATATACAAATGTATATGTAGAACATGTTTGTAATGGTGAAACTACTCTATGGAACTCAGGAGAGGAGGGAAAGGGAAAGAGAAGGACAGAGTCAACAATATTGAAATACATCACATTTGTGCAGGTAGAGGATTTAAGGATATGTATTGAAAGTTGTTGACTAATGGATGGGTGGGAGGGAAGAAGTAAGGGAGAGTAATGGAAGGGGTTGAATGAACCAAAGTAAGTAAATTTACAAGCAGGGATACATCGAGAAACTGCTTTGAACATCAACTTTGGAATTAATAATGAAAGATAAGACTAAAATAGGTACAGTGTGTATGGGGGGGTACTTGTGGGAGTGGAGAGGGTGAAAGGAGGAGATGAAGGTGAGGGAATATGGTTGACGGACTTCATATACAAAATAAAACATCCTGCAATTGTTTTAAGTGGAGGGGTTTGGGGGGTAGATAGTGGGAGAGACCTAGCCAATGTACAATATAAAGCTATTTGGAATTGTAATAACGAATTCCCCTGTACAATGCCTATATCCTAATAAAAATGGGAAAAAACAAAACAAAATGCTGCATCTCTGTCTTTGTCCCACCAGACAGATCTCAAAGAAAATAATCTAATTAACTTTTCAACCGTGGGTTCATATAAAATTAAATCAGATGAGACAGTCTACATGCCCCATTCTCCACTCCACCTCACACAACCCACTATGGGAGTAAGAGAGGAGCTCATCCAATAATGTAGGCCTATTTTAAAGTGGATTATTATAAAGTACATTACATTTGTCCCATAGAAACTGTATAGTAATGGGAAAGGACAGCGTTCTAGCTTTCATCACAACCTTGGCATCTTTATAGGTATAGCTAAATATAATCATCAAAGCAAAATGCTGTATGTAAAAACTATGTACCTGTTCTATAACAATTTTAAATTCCATAAACAGGGATAAATACACTGTCCATATGAATAATAAAGGAAGTCCTGTTATATCATTAAGTACACATACATCCTATAAAAATGCAAGTTTGATCTTTTAAAAACTATTGTGTTAGATTAATAAAGTGATGCTTATAAGAGTACTTTTGGATGCACCCAACAGATTTTTTTTTTTTTTGAGATAAGGTCTTGATATATAGCCTAGCCTAGGCTCGAATTTGTAATTCTCCTGCCTTAGCTTCCTGAGTGCTGGGGTTACATGAATATACTACCATTCCCAGCCCCCAAAGATATTTTCTGAATGAGTAAGTCTCAATGTTCAAATATCAAGGATCTTGCTATGTCCTTATGAATTAAACAGAGAATAGTTTATTCTCTTTGAGAATAGTTTATTTGGACAAAATAGCTTTTCAGAAGTTTACAAAGCTGCTGGACAGTGGTAGCTCACACCTATAATCCCAGGTTTCTGGGAGGCCAAGATCGTGTAATCAAGGTTCAAGGCCAGCCTGGGCAAACAGTAAGTAAGACCCCCATCTTGCAAATAATTATAGCAAAATGGACTATAGGTCTGGCTTAAACTGTAGAACACCTGCCTTATGAGTGCAAAGCCCTGAATTCAAAGCTCAGTCCCACCAAGGAAATTTACAAAATTCTTTCTTTTTCTTGAATGTGTTTCCTCCTCACAACAGGTTCTAACTGCAATTTCCCAAGGTCACTGTTATTTTGAGACAGGGTTTGTGTAGCCAGGCTGGCTTCTAATTCACAATCCTCCTGCCTCAACCTCCAAGTGCTGGGATTACAGGTGTGTGTGATCATGCCTTGGGAAAATTTCTTAATCCCTCTTGGCCCTGGTTACCTCATCTGTAAAATAGGGCTAATAGCACTGATTGGACCATAAGAAAAGGACAGTACATGGAAAATATGTCCAGGATTACATGCTGGGGTAGATTAGGCAGAGACTAAATTTGAATTTATTGAGTGTATGTCTGCTTAGTTATCATGGTAACCTCACACATTCCTTAGCCTTATTGTATAAATTAGGAAATAGGGGTCCTGTCCAGCAAGGAACTTCCCTAATGGTGTCCCATTAACAAGTGACAAAGGCAGAATTTGATGATAAATCCAATGTTCTCTCCTGTATGTCCAACAGCTTTTCTATGGCTGCTCTTGAAGTTGGGCCCCTGTTCCTCCACAAAGTCACTGCACAGCATTGAGGTCCTTTCTTATGAACATTTAAAGAAAGAATCCTTTGAATCTGACCTTACTAACCTTTCTGAATCTCATTTCTTTCTTTATAAAATGAGGTCAAACAATCTCTTTTGGCTTCAAAATGCTAATTCTAACATCTGCTCTCACTGTCTTCTTGAATCTGAGCATCAAATGGGCCAGTGGGTGCCAGTCACATTGCAATTATAATTCAAGGGCTTTGATTAACTTGAATGTCCACAGAAAAGGATAATTCATGTCTGATCACTTAATCCTTGCTGATGGCAGACTTTGTGCTGGGGTAGAGAATAGCCAGCACCATCTGATCTTTCTAGCATGAGATGTGGGTTAGTCTCTTTTTTGTTTGTTTGTTTGCTTGTGTTTTATTACTATTATTGTTTTGAGACAGAGTCTTACTATGTAGTCCAGACTAGCCTTGAACTCACA